TTCTCTTACTGGAGCTTTGGCAACTGATTAAATTGCTGATTTTGCTGACTTTAATGTAAATTGGTAATTTAGCAACTTTATCTGAAGAGCTGGTTCATTGTCTTCTGTTGATTTAACTGAAATTTACATTGAATTAGGGAGTAAAGTGTAGATTCTCTGTTCTACACTTCACTTCCTAATTCAATCAATGTAAATTTTTACTTTTCTACATTTTCACTTCAGCATTGTATTTTAGCAATCTTCTGCAAAGTAGAGGTTAAAAACACTGACAATGAAATGAAAAACGTAAGGAAAACGATGTCTTTCTCAAGTGAATCAGCCAACTGCTGACACTTGACTAGAGCTTATAGGTGGGGTTTTTTGCAATATTCTTGAGGTTTTAGGGAAAGTTTTTCATTTACAAAATTATTGCAGAAACTCATGGCTTGCTCTGAAAGTAGAGAATGGCTATCAAAAAATTGCAGTGAGGAATCAAGGGAGTTCAAGCTGTAAGGGAGATGGTGTCATTTCTCAATGAGGGATGAAAGGTTGAAGCTGGAATCGTTGCCCCCTGTGGGTATGTCACCCAAACAGAGCAGGGCAGTATGCTGGATTGGTATGCTTAAAATCAACAGATATCTCTTGTTCGTTGTGTGGCTTCATTACTGGTAGAAGATGTTATAAAATCCCAGCTCTGAGTCTACAGTTAAATTTGTGTGAAGGATATTGAAATAAAAAAAACTATGGAAGTGGTTGGCTGGTTGCACACAACTCTTTATGGCAAATGGGTATTGTTAGATATGCTGTTAGATATTTCTTCAGGATGGAAGCATGTGTGAGCTGCAGTAGTTTGCTTCATAACATTTAATAACAAAATGCAGCTCTCCGTGGTTGTTTCTTGATCTTTAATACAAGGTATGATGTTAAGATGCTACTGGTATAAAGCATATTGTTGTAAATCACTTGCTATATGTACCTTGAGGACTGAATTTTGGTGTCTGAAGACCATCTGTTTTTCTGCAGGTTTAAAATAGCAGCAACTCTAAAAAGCCACATGGAATTTATAAAAAAAAAAAAAAAAGAAAAGAAAAGGGAGAGACATAAAGCCAAAGGCCTTTATCTTGGAAAACTGAGCAGTACGTTTGTTCTCATATGGGTTTGTTTCTGCTGGAGAACTGTTTGTTACCTTCTCTTTAAAATATGTATGCACAAGTAGGTAAACATGCATTGTGTGCTGCTAATGGAGCCTGCTTACCACCACAGGGTGAGAAATGAAAATAATAGGAGGATGTAACTCTCTAGTAAATTTCCACAGTAATTTGTGGCCAGAATGGCTATTTTGGACTTTCAGAAGGCTAAGTAACAACAGGTTATTCAGAGCCACTGAAAGAGTGGCTCAGTGTGTTAGACGTGAGCAATGCAAAACTGTTGCTTTTCCTCCAGCAAGTTGTGCCAGATGCAGCAGCTTGATATTTCTCTGGTTTTGTTTCATTACACTGTGCAATGGGGTGACAATTCTGTTTGAAAAGCAAACACTCTCTCTGCTCTTTCTCCAGAAGTTAGTAAATTCTTAAGTGCTTTCCACAGGCTGGGTTGTGACTTCTCTTCCTCACTTTGCAAAGCTTGAGAATAACACGCTTCTCTCAACAGAGCCGTGAGGTCTGTGTCAGGAGTTGGAGGCTGGGTGGGACATCAGGGCATAAGCAGACCGCTTCGGTACAGCTTTGAATGACCAAAACCCGACTCTTCAGAATATTCAGTAGTCCTGAAAAAGCCAGTAGCAATTTGTGGCAGACCATACCCTATTCTGCTGCAGTGGCATCAGCCTATCTTCCTACCCTAAAATGCGCATGCTTGTTTAACCATGTAATTATGGAAATTGATAGGGGGTAGAGAAAGACGGAAGAGAAGAGCAGGTATCCGTAAAGGCCAACCTCTGACCCAAGAGGCTGGTTTCTTTCGGCCGTCAGTGGGCAGAAATTGTTTCCTACTCTGTTGCTTTGTAAGAGCCTGTATTTCTCTAGTTGCTTCAGAGAGAACCTAAAGCAACCCCTCGTCAGTATTTCTCTGTTATCATGCAGAATATGCGTGTGCATGAGGTGCAGAGGGGTGCACTGTTCAGCTCCTGTCACAGGGACTTCGCGTGACCCGGTGTAAGAAATCAAACTGGAATGATCCCCAGTCAAATTTCTGGTGATGGAGAGTGGCTATAGTAATGGCGACTTCCTTTCCTAGGTCAAAAGATGTCTTATGAAAGAAAAGTTTAAAATTGTAACTTATATTTATATTTCTTGTTTTATTTCTTATATTTCAGGTCTACCAGTCATGAAACGAATCCTTCTGATTTTTATCCTGGCTGCTGCTGTTATGTATGGTATACTTCATGGAAATCTGTGGAGGAATAACCCCTACTGGTATGGTGACGTTCCATTCATTTATAGAGCTAATGCCCCCATGACTGTGTGATATCTGTGTCCCCTAGTCACCGTGTTACCAAACGTGTTTACTAGTGGTCAGTAGAACTGCGTACTACGGTGAGGTTTATTTTGCACCATGAGGAATGAATGCGATTGTTCTGTCCTGACATCCCTTCTCCCCTTCTCTTGTTTAAGTTTTAAACCTAGCAGCCAATTTGAGTTAGGTGTATTGAGAAGTCAGGACCTCAGAGATAGAACGCTCCTTTGAATTTCCTGAAAATAGGTGTTCAGGTGAGGAGAGAGATCTTATCTGTGTGTATCCCTGCTCCCCACCCCCTCTGGTGCCATGGTGTATGTAGTGTGAGCTCGCTCCCTCAGAGGTGTGATAATCAACAGATCTGCCCCATGCATGGGAATAGCTGTAGCTGGGGCTGGCACCTTCTGAAATGCTGAAATTCACTGAGGCAAATTGCTGAGAGGTGAGACGTGGCTGTCTCCAGTGCTCACAGGATAGGTGATTTGGGACCTAAAAATTTGGGGTGCTTATCTAAGAAGTTGAGACTCCAGTGACCTTTGCCCAGCTGTGACCGGGGCTGACCAGTGTGTTTGCATTATGAAGCTGATAGTGGTAGCTTTTAAAAGGGCGTGATTGATTTGCCTTTATTTGTCTCACGTATAGTGTACAACTGATGTTAATGGCTCTCCATTTTGGCTTCTGTTCATAGCAAAACTCAGTGTTACCACATTTCCCCTTTTGCAGGATTAGCTTTTATGGACAGACTTCTTCTGTGAGGGCTTCCTCTTCCTATGAGGCTAGTGGAATAACTCAGTAAGTTCAGCAGTTGAGTGTTTTTGTGGGTTTTGTTGGCTGGTTGTTTTTTTGGGCAGGGGGGAGGGATTAAGACTAAAATCCATAGTCTTTATCCCTAGGTTCCCTATTCAACTGGTCATTGTGCAGCCATGTCCATTGACTGTTTCTGTTATGAACACAACTGTAGCATGTTTAGCAGAACTGAATTTGTCCATGTCATGTTTCCAGTGTTTGGCTAATATTCATGGCCACTTGCAGTGACTGTCTGTAACAAGCAGTAAATTGTTGGAAGGGCATTTGTTTACACTCTCCAAAAGTCTGCGATTCTGAGGTATACCCGAACAGAATTAGCAGAGCTGCAAAGACAATGTTTGTGCTTAAAATTGAATAAATCAGAGGTGCATTTCACTCGTATGTAATGTGCAAATGCTTCTATAAGCAGATCTGGTCCTAGTAAATTTCCGCAATTAGGCTTGCTGGACTAATGAGCATCTATGCTAAAACTTATACGCAGGCCTCCATTCTCTCTGAAGCAGTTCTGAAAAATGCTGTTTGTGCGACTGATGCTAGAAAACAATTAGCTGGCCAGCTGATGCATTTCACAGAGTGCTTGCTCAGTGTCAATATTCACATGACAAGTTAAGGTTACCAAAATCAATTAACCTTAATGGTCTGTTTAGCTTGTGGCTTTTATGTGGTGGCTTCATCCTTCTGTTCTTAATGCAGCCCAGATGCAAGCATTGCTTAAACTGAACTTTACTCTCCCTCCCAGGCTTCATGTTTGTTCTTAAATAAGCTAAAGCGCTAAGGCGGGAATGTGCTTAGAAGCATAAGTCTTAGCCCTCTGGCCTTATTATGAGAGGAGTGACTTATCCCCAAAGAATCTCGCTTTCTTCAAGTATGCTGTGTGGTGCTCTCTGCTCTCCTCTCCCAAAGGGTCCTCATTCGTCTCTGAGAAGTGCTAGTGACATCTATCTAATAGGGCTGCAGGGGTGAGTCAGCAGAAGGCTTCTGCTTCCCTGGAGGTGGCCCTCGCATCTAACCTCTGGTTATATCTGCTGTGATAGTTGCGCAGCGAGGGCAATTACAGACCTCTTGGAGCAGCAGTATGAAATAAAAGCCTTACTAGTAAAAGGAATCAAACTTCAACCAGAAAGATCTGTCTTTGTAATACAGACAAAGGCAATAATGACAATTTGGCATGGTGCTAACTCAGTAATCAACTTGCTAATTTTTTTTTGTCGAAGTTCCCACCTTGTTGATGCTCCATATTTCTGTTCTTGCTATTTCTTTGAAATTCTTCTCTTGCAGGCTGCCACCCACAGCTGTGGAAAGGAAGAATGCACTAGATACTTGTCTCCTGAAACCAACGTTTGAATCTTTGTTGGGGTGAGTCCTGTGTGAGAAGGTGGGAGGAAGGGAAAGCTTGTGCCGATTTAAGGAGAACTATTGATTATTTACATGTTCTGGACTATTTCACGCTTTGATTCACCTCAGGAAGTACAGATTTTGGGTCTGGGTTTATCGCTGCTTTTCCTGGTTCTGGCAACACAAATTGTTCAGCTTGCCGTTCTTGAGCACCTGGGCAATATAACGCAACCAGCTTGACAGGCTTGTCTATGTAGTGAATAAATAAATAGTTTGTCTTCAGGTATTGTAACTAGGAACAGTGAAACTATTTTCTCAATTAAAATACAAGCCTTAATTACACCACCCCCCCAATTCTTTTCCTGTAAAAGAAGCCTTAGTGTCAAAGACTGAAACTCAGTCATTCTGTGACTGAGCCTAGAATTAAGAGCTTAAGATTTTTGACAGCTAAGCATTTCTGTAGCAGCCAGAAACCAGAGAAGGTTCAATTTGTCTGGAAAAGAGCATGACTACATCCAAATTCACCCAATCTTTAATGAAATAAGATTCTCTTCTCCCCATCCCCCTGTTTTTAATTAATCGACATTAGAGATTGTTCATGGTTGGCTTTTCTGATAGTGTGTGTAGGTGTCCTCTGCTTTAAGATACTTACAGGAAGCATCCTTTTTAAAGAAGCAGGAAGCTGGAAAAAAAACAAGAGCTTCCACCCAAAATGCAGGAGATGCCTGGTCACAGAAGCGCATCCAAGATGTGTGTGGGGAAATACTGGGAGTTTTTCTTATTAGAAACATGTGTATTAGATGAGAGAGATCAAGGAACTGCCGCAGGAACACAAGCAGGCAGGCTTTGTTGGCTTTGTGTTTTATCTGAGCAAACACTGAGAATGGCCCTCAGGAAAGCTTGGGAAGATGTTTAGACCAAGTCCTGGCTAAAGGAGGCTTACAGTTCTAAGAAATGGCACCATTTCTTCTTTGTTTAGTCCTTTCTGTGTACAAGATAGCAAGGCTTTGATTCAGTCTTGTTACTATTTCAACAAACGCACAAGGATCTCTTGTTTCTCCTTCTCTCTGAAGCAGTCCTCTACTGCTCTAGTCTCCAGGTTTTGCTTAGCTGCTTAGCTCAGAAAGGGGATACTGGGTCTCCTGTTCACAAAGCAGGCCCACTCTAAGTCTTTGTCAGGCATAGCAGGGTAGCCCTGCTCCTGTGCAAGGGAGCAGAAACGGTCTCAGAGATGAACAGCAAGAGGAAGGTAGGTGCAGAAAACACACCATGAGGCTGAGGCTCGTGCCTATTTCCATAGCTCCTTTACGGTTTGGATAGTTTGCCTAAGCTGAAAATCTGGTCTGTGCACTTTGGTAATAGCTGGGGATGGTTGAAACGATTTCTAACCTGGCAGAATTATTTATTGGAAAGGAACCAGAGCTATAATTAAGAATCCCTTTGCAGTAGGTAAGTTATTTACTATGGCTAAGCTTACTAGCTGCTTCTGAACGGCAAGGCAAGTTATTAAATTTAATAAGGATGTTTAGTGCATGATGTTTCAGCAGGTTAGCAGGTCTCGCTTTGTTAACCCGTAGCCCAGTTGTTGATTCTTTTTTGCTGTTTGTATCTTTGAGTATACAGAGCTTCATGAGTGAGACATTCGATTTGTGAAACTGTGAGAGGGAGGTTATTTCTTTTGCAGCTGTTAGTATTCTTAATGGAGCAACAAGTCATGTGCTGGCTCTGTGTGTGTTTATGGTCAACGCTCTAGGTTTTCTCCTTGTGACTGTGCACTTTTATGTTAGCATTTTAATACAAGTCCTGGTACACACGATCAGTGCAAAGTCAGCCAGTTCAGTGAGTGCCTATGGCCTTAAGTATGAGGTGAAGCCAAGGGCATAGTAGCATGTGACAGGATTGGGCATGCCATTTGTTCATTCAGCTTGACTCGGCAGATGTGGCAATGGAGTCCCTTCCTGGTGTGAAATAACCCTGGGTTGTGGTTGCTGCCTTTGCAAGAGGCAAGTGACCTGTTCTGTATTGATGTCTACAAGGTGTGACACGGGAGGGTTTCGGTTTGCAGGAGGAACACGCTTTTGAGGCACATGCTCTCATAATCCCCACGTGCCACACTGCTGATCGCAGAGCGGTGCACATGGACTGGGTTTTTTTTCAGACAAAGCTAAACCAGGAGGTGCACGGCAGCAGCACACCTAATGTGCTGCAGCTGCTAACGAGTGTTTAGTCTGTGGGATCATACTAGAGTTAGTCCAAAGTAAAACCCCTGAAGTGTGTATAATGTGGACATGGGACCTTCATATTGCTTTGCTATATGGAGCTGCTCCTGTCGTCCCAACCTATTTACTAATGTTAACACAGCTGTAAAGGGCCACTCGTTTGGAATGGGAGCGCTTCTCAAATGTTCTGAAATGCTCAGGAGATGCTATTTTCAAATTAAAACAGCTTGTTTCAAATCTTTCTTATTGGTGTAATTACCATATAGAATAATTTTAAAATTTCCTTGCTGCCCCTATTTTTTTTTCCTCAGCATGAATATTTACTTCTCAAATCAGAAGTTATTAGTTATCTTACTGGATCACAGCTTCTTTCAAATATTCTATCTTGTGGTGTAAACTTCTTCAATGCATGTAACTTCAGTGAATCCATATAACGTACGCTATCAGAAAATTAGTCCTTCCATCTTTTACTTGCTACTGGAATTTTACATTATAAAGTCTTCTCCTTTTCTGTGACCTGATTTCCTTCCCTGTGTTCGTGAGTTTTATCCTACTTAAAATAACCAAATATTATCGATTTTTAAAAGAAGAAAACTAAGTGATTGCATGAATTACATGGTTTATTCAAATATGTCATGTGGATTTTTGAAATTTATGGCTTTTTCCCTTTTATTAGCGTTGACAAAATATACCCGTTCCTGTGTGCTAATGATTTTATCAAAGTGGCAGAGTTCCATGGAAGTGATAAGTTTGAACTACCTTATGGAATAAAGAGAGCAGGTTTGTGTTCTGTATGTACCTGTTTTTTAAATGTAAATACATAAATTATATTTAGGCCATCTGAATCCATAGGCCTGGTGTTTTGTTTTCACAGATGACAATCCTTTAGGGGCACCTAGCAGCAACTTAATAGTTTTACTTAGTCCCTCAGCAACTTAATAGTTTTATTTAGTCCCTCTGGTCTTTGTTTTTAACAATCAGAACGCTGCTTAGGGATTGCCCCTCTGAGCAGAGGAGCTTCAAAAGGGCAGGAGGTGGGGGGGAATGGAGTTTAAATTCAGCTTGCGTTCATTTGTATAGGGGCTGGAGTATTAAAGCTATTTAGCCAGTGCTCTGTTCAGTGGAGCATTAGCTGTGTCAGTGCTATGGGATTTGGTCAACGTACCTGAGCTGATCGGGGTCCAGAGTCCTAACGAGGACTGTGGTAGGTGTCCCCAGGTTGAGGCAGTTACAGCAGCAACGTTTCCCCTTTATAAGGCTAGCCTCTTTAGTCCGGGGAGGTGTTACTGTGGCTGCAGAGGGTAGTCCTACCATTACATGGCTACGCTCGCGCAAAGTGTCTGCCTAGTGTGCCTGCTGCTGGCATTGGTCAGGCAGAGTTCAGACTGGGCCAGAGACCCTAAGTGCCTTAGTCAGCCTTTTGAAAAAAGTTGTAAAGTCCGACTGACTTCAGTTTTTAACACTGCACCGTTTTATTGCCCTTGCAAATCTGGGCTTTAGCCCTCTATCTGTGTAACAAGAAAACAAGTGTGTTTTCTGGCACCTCTGGGGTTGCAGGCAGGAAAAACACATTAGAGACTGAGTCACTCAGGTCCTGTTGCAAAGAGAGGTATAGAAGCGTCAGACAGGCACACGTTTACTGAGGGAGGGCTGAGAAGATGCCTCTGCTGAACTTTGCCAGTTAGCACAGACTGGTTTGATGAGTTATCTCAAAACAGGTAAGACGGTTACTGTCCCCTGGCTGTGCAGCCCTTCCCCTTGGATCAAGGCTGCATCTCTTCCAGCTGTAGGTGGGTTGAAAGCAAAACCGAAGCCAGTTAGGGCATGAGTCTTGGAAACTCTATTGTTTGTTTACCTATAATTGTGAGTTTTTTAGATGCAAACCTCATTCTGTTTTCTAACAAGGGAGTATGAGAGCAGGAAAAGCTCCCCAGAGAGGAGCTATGATAAACCTGGATTCCTTTGGCATCACTGATTCATATATGGCCCTAAATTACAAGTGTTGTTGACGTTTTTGAGCACAGTGTGTTTAAAAAAAACAAAACAAAAAACTGTTGTGACTGAAAATGCTGTAGTCCGAGTGGCATGCTTATTTTTAAACTGGGAACTGCTGAGTATTTTCATTAAAATCTTCTCTCTCCTGTTTGCTTTCTAGAGCAATTCTTTCATTTAGCCCTTTCAAGACTGCAGAATTGTGGCCTGTCCAGTGAAGACGACAGGTGAGATGGTTTGTTTGCTACTGTTTTTTTTCCTGTATTTGAGTGCTGAGTGTTTACCTGAAACACAATGTCAGTGATGTTATCCTGGAGTTGGACAAGTTACCTGAGGTGAGAGTCTGACCTATAGCGTCAAAGCAACATGCAACTGATTCCAAGGTTTAAATTAGTTTGGTTTTAAACGCATGTAGCACTAACATTCAAGAATAATCTTTCTGTGGGATAACTTAAACTTAATGGATTTTTTTCTAAGTGCCCTAGCAGCTTGCTGACTAAACACAGTGTCATCTTCCTTTAATGTCATTTTATGCTCAAGGAAAATGAAACCACCCCTGAAAGTGAAAGTGATCTCCTCTTTCAAAATCGTTATTCGTGTAAACTAGCTTACTTTAGCTGTCTCTTCAGAAAATGCTTGAGGCGAACAGTCACCAGTTTGTGGCTATATCTGTGCAAAAGAAGTGTTATGCATGTGCCTTTGCCACTGCTTCCCTTATCTTGCTGCACGTGCTCGTTCATATATACGTTCAGCTTCGTTCTCCTGTGAATGATTGAATCCTGTTTCTGAAAGGTGTTTATGGAACTAGGAAAGACTGTTCCTGGCATCTCTGGAAGAACCGGACTGTAGCGCAGAATGAAGCACGCCCTAGATAACTCACTTTTCACATATTAAATCATGCTGTTTAAATCTCTTGGAGAGAAGCCACTTCTGTCAGGCTTCTGATGTATTTATTTTTGTAGGTAGGGTAGTAGAGTAGGCAAATACACTGAAATGATATGTTTACCAAGTGATGCAAATGACTTGTTAGATTTGCAGTCAAGCACGTGGGTTGAGAACCTACCATATATGATGTTAATATGCAGGATACCTAAGAGCTGGATGTAAATAATGGTGAGGCCGGCTGTACTTGACTGTTTTAATCAAAGAGATCAAATAGAACATTATTGCTTCAAGTCAAATGCAAAGGTCATATTTTAATTAAACTTAGTTGGAATATGAAGAAAATAATTTGTGTTCAAACCTAAGACCTATCTTGTTTTTAATATCTAGCTTTCCTGTCCAACTGAAGTGGGGTTTTTTTTGCTTGCTATTTTCTTCACCTCCTCTACACCTTCCTTTCCCTGTGTTTAGTAGCTAATTCTAGGATGTTCAGGTTTACTCTTACTAAGTTAAAACAACAACAAAAAAACTACTCTACTGCTAGTCTGGAGCTTGAAGGAGGAGAACGCCAAATGTGCTAGAAATTCACTGACATCACAAGTTCAGTGCTATATTCGGTTTGATTGTAAAGTGAAGAACCTTGTAGTACAACCTAAAATCTTTTAAATAAAAGTGTCCTTTCTTTAGGTCAAAAGAAAGTTCTTCATTCAAGATGCAGACATGTAGTGGTTCTGAGAGGTGTGCTTCATTTTAATGAAACTAGTATACCTTAGTAGTGTAAAAGCAAAATGAGAACTATTACTACTTAATAGGTAATAGTTTAAATGAATCAAATGTACAATGACTTCATATGATATATTCTTTCTTAATCTATCAGTATACGTGTACAGCCCTGATAGGGCATGAATCACTGTAGTAAGGAAGAGCTTTTTTTTATATATATATATGTGTAACTGAGATAGAGGTTTAACAATAGAAGCACTTTGGGAAAGAAGCCCAGCAAAATTCTCCTGTAGTTCTGTTGCTGTATTATTAGGCAGTTCTCTGTTGCTGCAGCCTAATCTCGTTGGCAGAATAGAAATAGAAATTGAATTTCCCTGTAAACTTTTAGTGAGGGGTGTGGGGAACTGCATTTCATGAATGCTAGGCTCTATTAGTGTCAAGTACCTATGTACGTGAGCTGTATTTATTTGCAACATCCATAAAACTGTACACAGTGAGCTACAAAGTATATTTTTTCCAAATAGTGCAGGTTTCCAAAGTAAGGTGGAATTCTTACTGTGTGAAGTCCAGCTTCGCAAAACTTTTCTGAAGTGAATGGTGTCATTGACTTCAGTGGAGTTGCTCGTAGGAGAAGGCTAGGGGTGTATCCACAGAATACCCGTTGAACGCCCAGTCCACCTATTTACTTACAAGTACTCGGCAGGGGCTTTTAGGACTCTGAGCTTATCAGCAGTAAATTCTCCCAAATGCATTTACACAGCAGTGAGTCAACAAAATGTGACCTCTGCATCCTCCTTTTACCAAGTAACCTCAAAGGAAATAATTTGCATTCCTCAGAAGATTGCTGGAGCGTGGGGGTGTTGAAAGAGTTGACGTCCAGATTTTTTTTTGTTGTTTTTTCTCCAGAGAAACAGTATTTTGGTGGAATGTGGAAGATATAAGCTTTTTAACCTTTAAACGCTACATTTCCACTTAACAGTATTTTTCTTTTATGAGTGGGAAAATGTTTCTTTTAGTATTTCACCATAAACAAAATATGTAAAATAATGTTTGACCTTTTAATTAAGAGGCTCTTTCACACAGTGTGACCTAGGGCAATGGTTTGAGTGAGTGGCTAAGGGATTACATTTAGGCTCTGGAGATATATTTAGGTATATATGGGTCCTGATTTAAATTGCCTGAAAACAGCAGAGTAGTCTTATAGTTTCTATGCATGTTTCTTCCCTCGCTATACTAAAGCCATGATGATTTTTTTCCCTTCTTCTATATTGTGCTGGTGGTTGTAAGCTGGACCTTCTGTCTCTTCTGTTTCACTTAGAGCACGCTTAATGTTGTTCAAAGCCTCTGAATTTATTTCTCTTCCTACCAATTTGTTGATTTGGAGAAGGGGTGAGGGTTGTTTGTTTTTCAAATATGAAAACGTTGTGAAAAAGGAAACGTGGAGAAGTGGGGTTGATGAAATACTCTGGGAGTAGCAGTCTCCTGAAAACCAGTATGTTGATTTCTGCGATCTACTGTAAGTACGTGTCAGTTGAACTTATCTTTGTATGTAGTCCGGTCTTGCCACATATCCTTTATCTTCATTTCATACCTAGGTTTCCTTGAGATTATGTTCTGTTTTTGGTGTGGTTACACCTAACCCACAGGTGTAAATGTTATCCGTTCTCTAGCGTAACCAATTTCCCTTGCTGCTTATCATCATCAGTGGGACCTATGCTGTTATGGGTGTAGGCCTACTATCATAACTAGAGACAGCTGAAAACTGGGTGGGGAGGGGAAATAATTCAGAAATAGTGCATTAATGGGAGTTTTCCTGTTTGAGCTGGCATTATTTGACTTCCTGAGCTTGACAGACATTAAAAGGTGGTCTTTCTAATTTTTTTGACAAAGTTCAACATCAAGTATATTTGATCTGCCTGTTGACTTTGATATTATTTCAAAAGTTCACATACCAATCTTAGATGCTTTATTGGTTATTCGAAAGCAGCTGATAACCTTTTTTCGAGTAGGCTTGTTATTAAGGGGGCTGGAAATTGAAAGCTTTGTCAGACTGCACTGTCTTTTCCCTCCAAGTAGTATTAGTCAACTTTTAAAAGTTGTGAACAAGATCTGGACTATATCAGTCAATAAGGGGGAAGAGGCATTGTATTTGATTTGATACGATGGCGGCTATCCAGCTTCTGGAGCTGCATTAACCTTGGTTGCCCAGCTCTCATGTAACTTTTTCTTTCACCCACTCGTGCCCTGCGTTTGTCCTGCTACTTTCCAGCTGCACAGTACAAAGAGGAGAAAATGTGCTGTTCGGTTTTACACCAGAATTGAAGGCATCATTGCAGTAGATAGGGATTGCTGTAGGGAAGAGGCTTCCTAAATGTAGCTCCTGCCAAAAGTTGGGAGGTACGCAGCATAAGGAATCCCATAAAACTTTGCTGCAAAGGACAGATGCAGCAGTGCTTCCTCAAAGTCACTTTTTGGCTGCTTATTATGGTTAGAATAATATAAATCAACTGTAAAGGAGTCAATGCCGTTTCTGTAATTTCGTGCCAAGTGGTCAGAGATATAAAACAAAGTGTTCAGCAAAATTAGGAGCAATTTTTCTTGCGGTTTGAGAGCAGAAGATGAGTTCCTACGTGATGTGTTAGTCAGACTGTCAGCCAGGTTCTCTGCAGTGCACTGGGGAGGGCTGCTCTAGCCAGGAGGTACCGCAGTGGGTTAGGTGCCAGTAGCAGTTCATTGTTTATATCTCATGGTAACTCGGTTGCAGCCATGTGGCTTTTGGTGACACTGAATTAAGAGGTTTAAGATTATTGAAACTTGTAGTGGTTTACAGAAGCATGCTGTAAATTGACAGGAAAAAATGATAGATCCATAAACTAGTGTTGTTTGTTTGTGTCTCTCCCTCATTCTGCCTTCATCACTTAGTGATTACCCTTTTTGTCCAACTTTCCTTTTTTCTTTCCAGTTTCTCTTTGCTGTTGTTTCGTCATAGGCTGGGGTCTTGCTTTGAGCTCTGTGGTATAGCTGTGGGTAATGAAGCGTAACTCAGAAAAAGGGATGTTTCTGTTCTCTTCCTCCCACCATAAATGTTCTAGGAAGTATATATTCATCTGTGTACTTGCTCAGGAGATCTTAAAACTAGACTGAAAAACTGATTGGAAAATGAATGGGCTGGAGCAATCCTGGAGTAAAGCGAAAAGGTTTTTGGGGACAAGAGGGACTAACAGGTTTTTAGCACCCTAATTTCCGAGGCACCAAATCACATGGAATTTTGGCTTTAGCCCAAATTCTTTTTATGGATGCTTGCCTTTTCCTAAGTTGTTTGAGAAACACTAGAGAAAGGTATGCTAGCTTTTTTCGTGTCACTCCATCCCAAGAACTGTATTTAGCAGTGCTGGATTTTGTTGGACATGTGTATTTTAATTGAGAGAGGCTTAACAGGTGGATCAGAAATTCGTTATGAAATGCGAGCAACTCCCTCTGCGGATGTGGCCCGAGAGCAGCAGATGAGAAGCTGACATCTCAGCTCTTCTTTTGAAATCGCTGTTGGTTGTTACAAGAGTAGGAGTGAGCCACTTGTTCACATTTCACCTTTTCTGTAAGCTTTAGTTTGTCAGCAGTGGCTTTGGGCATAGGTCCTTTTCCCTAGCCTGCATGCAGTAGTGCATGACTACGTTAACAATTCTGCTGGTAATATAGGGGATTACTTTGTATGTTGAGCTGTCAGTTAGTCTGGCCTGGAGCAGGCTATTTTCATTCGTGGTGAGTAATACTTGCTTCAGCTGAAGCAAGTAGGATTATATGAGGAGGAAGTACTGGGCCTTTAATCCTTGTTCTAGTGTTCTTTGTTACTTGGTCTCTTGGTCCCTTACAGTAAGAAATGGCATTGAGCCTTTTTCTTGTTTGAAGAACCCTGTGAGCGGGATGTTGGGAGAAGATTAATCCTCAGTATGCTGTGAATGTGTCTGAACAGAATACCAACATTTTTCTTTTGCCAGTGTTCCCGCTGCAACCAAGCTGCTGAACAGCTTTTGCTCTAAATTTAAAAGAAGCATTTTACAACCAAAATGCTCGTGCTCTGAAGGAGGAGTTTGCAGTTGCACGTGTTGGATGTGAAACTTCCCTAAAGAGGCAAAATTTCTGGAGTAAACACAACAGCCAGCCTGTTTGCTCTGTTTTATAAAGCAAAGCACACATTTTACTAGCTTTCAAATAAAGCAGTGTAGAGCAAAAGAGACGATTAGAAGACCTGGGACAGCTCTTTGGAGAATTTTACCGTTAGAATCTCGTTGCACAAGTTTAGCAATTGCGTTTATAGAGTACCTTTTTTGCCTGTGCATTTTGACTGTGAATATATTCTAAATTCAAAAGGATTAGTTTTTTTGATTGGATGTATTATAAGATGTGATTTATAGCTTCCTGTAAGTGTTCTGGATGCTTAGTAATGCTGTATAGTTTGTATCTAGTTTATAAGAGAATGCAACTGTTTATCAAGCATATCGCTTGCTATGTCACGATAATGTGCACTTCTGTCATAGTGACATGTTTAAACGGCACTTTCTGAGTAGAAGGAGAAAATTTAATATGAATATATTTGCGTGAAGCGGCATCGCATTTGTCATTGGGCCGAAGTTCCTTATGCGCGTGATTCAGAGGCCTGTAAGGTAAATTATCTTGCCACAGTAGCTTGCTGTAGAGTTCTACAATACTGCAGAGTCATCTGAATTTAATTAGTTTTCTGCTACCCAGACGAGTGCAAGTTTGAAGCATTGTGGAAGATAATTTATCTAATGGCACCCATATCACCATCTGCTCAGACGACCTGAAACTGCAAAGCACTATGCAAAAGACGTGTGAAACAATATTTGTACTGGAGAAGCCTTTCCCTGCCTTTGGCAGTCTCTGAAATAATGCAGCCGCATTTTGAAACGTTTAGAGTGCAATGTAGGATTGGGACTGTGGCTTAGGTGCCAAGAACTGTCAAGGATACAAATAGACAAATTACTCTAAGGAGAAATTCAACCATTGTTAACTCAGCAGTGAATTGCATCCTAACCCCTGTTCTTGTTCCTTGTTTTTTCTAGTCTTATCAAATCAGCTAAATGCCCATAAGGCGGATGTTTCAACATTGGTGTTAATGATGTAAGTGAAATGATGGGTATTAATAGTTCTGCTTGTTCCACAGTGTTGCCTGTCGAAGGTGCGTTGTGGTTGGTAATGGAGGAGTACTTCGAAATAAGACATTAGGAGAGAAAATTGACTCGTACGACGTGATAATAAGGTAATAATATAGTAACTCCTTTTCATTTTCTTTACGTGCAGAGAATCACAAAAAAAATTTGTTTTCAGAGAGTAGCTTTGGAGTTCAGTTCTTGTATAAAAGAAAATGGATGAAAATTCCTGTTTTATCAATTAATCTATCGTGTTCGTTTAAAAATTATTTTTAAAAAATCAGTGTTTTAAATTGCATAGACTGATTGATAAGGGGGAGGAAAGAACCCTGGGTGTGCAGCCTGCCTGGCCTACAGATACGCACATGCACATGGAGGGTGCTGTTATCGGAGATGAATGAGTCTGAGCATGTGATAGCCTCGAGCCCTCTGTTTGCCCCTTGATGTGAACCAGCATCCCAGACAAGTTTCGTGCGTAATAAGAAAAAACAGTACAACCACTTTCTCTCTGGCATAAACTGAGATGGCAAGTGATTAAACAGCCATCAGGCCTGTAGGTATCCTGTCAGGTAGCATACCTGACACCCCAAACTCTCTTTTCATTGCAAGTCCTCAGCTGCCGTTACAGTTTGTCCATTTCAAGGTTGCGTCAGCCTCATTTTTGTTACTTGCCATCAGTTGTAATGCTCCTTTGTAATACTGAAACAGCATTACAAAACAATAGCATGGAAAGCCTTATCTAAAACCTGGAATACTGATAACCTGAAATTAGACACATGAAATTCTTTAGTCGTAGCTCTTCTTACGAACTTAAAACTACAGAAGGTGATCCAGCTAAAAATCTTCTTCTTTAGGAAATTTTACTTGCATGAAAGCTTTATGCTTTACGGGGTGGGGGGGGGAATACATTTCTTTTCACTGTAGTGTAATGATGCAAACAAGATCTGTGAATTATTTTTAAAGTCTTGTATGTATTTGAATATAATCTTTGAATTCAAAAGCTCCTTAGCTCCTTGCAGATCTATTTACTCTTCATGAAATGGAAATCCTTGCATAGATTAGTGTCACGCATTTAAATACAGTTAGCTATAAATTAAAAACTTTCATAAATATAGTACACGTTTTCTTTTTTAATGTGTGTGTATATACATAAGTGTATGTGTGCGCATATATATATGTGTGTGTGTGCATGTGTGTATATATCCACACACATACATGCATGCACACACACAGATGTATCAGCATCAGGTAGACAGTCGTAATCCCTGTCCCATATGCTGCATACAGCGAAGAATATAAAAACATTATTGAATGGCCTCTTGAACGATTTGGATCATCTGGCGGCATGAATAGAACAATCAGTAGTTCTCTAAGCCAGATATTCTTCAGTCTTCTCTGGTTTCTGCATTTGAGCCAAAATCGGAAGGCCTTCTGCTTGATACATGATAAGCAGTCACATAATTGTATTCTAAACCGTCTTGGCCACGTTCCCATATGTGCTCAATGTCTCTGGGTTAGAGGGCGAGTGCAGGAAGCATCTCGTAATTGCTCATCTGCCATGTAACGTGATAAACGCTGTGCCACCAAATCCTTGTGTGCCTGGATGTGCTATCTGCCCTGCAGACTTCTGCGCGTGCTGACCATTGCACAGCAAGAATGGATGTGTGAGTTAGTCATTGCCATCTCTGTGTCTGTCCTCTGCAGAATGAATAATGGTCCTGTTATAGGGTACGAAGAGGATGTTGGGAGGAGGACAACTTTCCGCCTTTCTTATCCAGAATCCATCTTCTCGGATCCAGTCCACTATGACCCTAATACGACTGTTGTTCTCATTGTCTTCAAACCACGTGATTTAAAATGGCTTTGGGAGATATTAGGTGGTCAGAAAATAGTGAGTTTAATTATTTATGCACTTTGGCTTGGCTTGCCACCCCTCTCTCACATGTAATATATCTGTTCAGCATCTAACCTCAGTTATCCCAGTTGGGAGGAGCAGCAGCAGATCTCCCAGTTAGTCTGTTCTTCCCCATCATATGCTTCTGTATTCTTTCTCACCCCAAGAGCTGATCAGTTCTTCAATCCAAAGCAGTTTTCCTCTTGGAAATATTTTTTTATTCTCTGCCTAGCATACTCTGATGCATGTGCTCTAGCCCTTCCATTCAGTGGAATTGTAGAATAATTTTGAAAGGGATCTTCCTCTGGAGGTTTTTAGCCCAACCCCCTGCTCAAAGCAGAGCCAACTTCAAAGTCAGAAAAGGTTGCTCAGGACCTCGTCCAGGAAAGTTTTGAATATCACCAGGGATATTTCCACAGCCTCTCTGGGCACCTGTTTCACTGCTGCACTGCCCTCGTGGGGTAGAATTTCTCCTTATCTTCTCACTGTGCACCTCTGAGAAGACCCTGACTGTCTTTTGTGTACCCCCCACCCCCAAGTTAGTTGAAGACAGGTTGAACAAATACAGCCTCCTCAGACCCATCTTGCATGCCACGTGCTCCAGCCCACAAGGTGTTTTAGTGGCCCTCTGCTGAACTGGCCCCGGTTTGGCTCTCCCTCTGGTACAGGGTAGCCCCAAGCAGTACTCATGAGACCACAGCTGGACACAGTACAGAAAACTTAGGAATGATCCCTTCTCTCTACCTGCTTGCTATGCTCTTATTAGTGTGGCCATCTTTACAATTAGTCTGTGTTGCCTTGAGGGCGTGCTGCTGGTGCTTGTTGTCCATCAAGGCCCCCCTGTTTTTCAGCCTGTGCAGTTGCGTGGGATTTTTCTACTGCAGGAGCACAATTTGGCATATGCATTTATTGAACTTCAGGAGGCTCAACCTTCCTTTTCTTCCTCAACCTCCTGCCCCTGGATTTCACTTTGGTTAGATCTAGAGAAACTACAAAAGCAAAAACAACGGATTATAAAGTTTAAAAATGTGTATTTACTTGACCATTGCAGAGTGCTAAAGGCTTTTGGAAGAAACCAGCATTGAACATGATATACAAATCTAGTCAAATCAGGATACTTGATCCCAGCATCACCAGGAAAACAGCATATGAATGGCTTCATTTCCCAACAAGGTTTCCCAAAAAGGAGGTAGGCTTTTTTTCTTAAACTTTGAGTTATGTACAACCAAACGTGTAGTCAGAAATCATTCTCTCTCCATTATAATGGACTGTGTTAGAACATCTTTTAGGTTCATGTTCTGTGAGTTTGGGTTTAGGTGGTGCTCAAAGAGGGTGGGAAAACGGAGCCCAGAAAGAGAGAGGGTATAGCCTTGTTTGCCAGAATCTCTATTTATGGGTTCTATAATCAATATTAAATGAGACAGCATTTGTAGGCTGGGATAATCCCTTTTAACAAAAATTGAAAAAGTGGACAAGCTTTGGAGCATAGTAGCATCTGAAGAGCCTCTATATAAATATAAAAAGTCTTGTATTATTAAATGTAGCTTAAAAGACAACAAAAAACCACCACCACCAACAACAAGGAAAAACCCTGAAAGCCACTAATTCTACATTGCTTTGGGGAGTAGGGAATAGAGAACATACAGGATATTCCAGCCTTGCAATAATGATGCGTCTAACATGATTCTTGTGCTTACTGGTTTGATGCCAAGCATTATAATGCGCTAACCAACTGTTTGGACACAAAAATACATTTCAACTGTCAGTTTCTGACTAAAGACTGTTTTTGATGGAAGGTAAGGCTTCAAGGCGGAGACCTCTGTGTAGTCAGGCCTGACCATGCACCATTTAGTATAAGCACTTGTGCGAATACAGTTCTGTTCCCTGTTCTGGTCATCACGATCAGATGACTGACACGCATGGAAACTTCTGACAAGCTGTTGCTGTGGAGTGTCTACCACAACTTTTTTCTGGTTTAACCTTTGTAATTGTGGGAGTTGTTTTGTGCTTTTTGTTGGGGGGGGGGAGGAGAGAGTGGAGGGTGGATTATTTCTTGCTGTGGGGGTTTTTTGGTTTTAGTTTAGCTTTTTTTTCTTCGTTTGGAGCCTACTAGTGGCTTTATCTCCCTTATTGACTCAGACTGGAATTCCCAGTTCAGCTGCATGCTTGCAAAAGCTCTGTGGCATTTCAGCTCTTCAAGTCAGGGTGGGGAAAAAACAGGGTAGTTGGGAGCGTAATGATCTGCTAAAGGGCCACTGAATGTCCAAGGCTTTCATGACTCTGGAATTCACTTTTCTTTTTTTTTTTTTTTTCCTCTTTGTTGCTCCTTCCTCAATGGGAGTAAAAGTAAAATCAGTGCTGTGAGTGAGCCAAACAGAAATGTGTGATGTCCTGGTGGTTACGCAGAGGCATAGGCTGCTCCATCGCTTTGGAAAGCATGCGCTCTCTGCTCCTCTCCAGCTCACAGATCACCCCTGCCCAGAGCCAGATTGAAGTATCGCAGCGCTTGGAGAAGCTTTCCGTGCCCACCATGTGCCATTCACCCCATCCTAGGGGCTCTGCAGCCCCACAACACAGGTGGCAGCCGTAGCAGCTGATGAAGCGCAGGCATACTTGCCCTCGTTTTACTCCCCATCTCATAGATGGTGGGCCGTGGCTAAGAGCCTGCACGTTTGCAGGTGCTGGGGCACAGCCCGCTGGCAGGGCAGCCTTTTTGCCGGATCCGCTCTGGAGCGATCTGCTGCTACAGCGTGTTCCCGGTGAGAGCTGGTTCCTGCCTCCCTTGTTCTGGGCTTCAGTCCCCTCGCCTGGAAGAAAGGCTGAACGCTGCCAGTGCTTTCCCTCCTGTCTCAGCCTTTTCCATTAAGCCAGCGCTATGTTCCGTGGGTGCGTTTGTGTGCAGTCCAGCAAGTGTTTTTGTTTCTTTATTAGCAACTATGATTGTGTTAACAGATCCGAGAAGAACAATTGTAAAATCAGATGTGCTGCCTCAGAATGGGCAATGCCAAAAGGTGTTGCAGACTCATTCCAAAGCTCTGCCTATTCCCATGAAATATGCCCGGCAGAATAAACTTCGTTGTAAGTCTAGATTCTCTACTTCTTGTTAGGCCGTGTCTGATTCTGAGCATTTCACTGACAAGTTTTGCTCAGCAGAGTCCACAGAAAATCCTTTTGCTTGTTAGAGGCTCTTCCTTCATCATGTTAAATGCTGGTTTCCCTGAAGTTTTTGTGGAGAAAAGACCATGCTTAAAGCGTGAGAATTTCTTCTTTTAAAAGTAGTTTTGCTTTTCTCATATATTCTTTTGAGGTGGACTTAATGCCTGTGAAGGCCAAAGTTAAACAGAGCTCGTTGTAACCTGTGATATTCCTGAGTTTCCAAATCGCACTAATCCTGACAGGTAACATTCCTATTGTAATTGTTTGAGACCTGTCTAGTATGGACACTGTGACAGGCGCTTGACTAAATTTATGATCTTGGTCCCCAGAGGCAGAAAGTTATTTTACTCATCAGCCGGGCCTTCAGGCAACTGTGTATGTTTTGTTAGTGGTGTTTTTGGAGTATTCTGGAAGTTGTATAAAGGTAAAGAAAATTCCACCTAAAAAGTGATAGATCAATTCTGTGATTTAATTAGGCTTACAGAGCTGCTATTAATAACTTTTTCCTCAGGGGTTGTTCATTTGTCGTATGATACAAACAAACTATTTATTTGTAGTATTAAGTACGTCTTCCTGCCTATGCAGAATTGTCTAGTGCTGTTTTGCCCGTTTTATTTTCAGGGGCAAGTGAACTGAGCACTTGGGTAAGAATTCAAAAAAGCACATGATTTTCATGCCCGGTTTTGAGGTTTGACTCCAACTACTAGAAATGTTTGGCTCCTTCGAGCTCTGATAAAATGATTATTTGAGCAAGGAAGGGTGTATGTGCCTGGAAATTTTGCCTGTTTCTGGGAAGATTTTTTTTTTTCCCCTCAACTTAATCAGCTGATCTGATGAAACGGATCATATCTTGGTACACACCTTGCCTCATTTACTTCCTTAGATCATTTTAGCTACTGCTAAAACAACCATGTGCTCGATCACAAGATAGGACAGATGATTGCAATTGTTGCAGTTATTCTTTATTCTTGTAAGAAATGCTAATTCTCACTTAGGTGCTCTCAGTTTTGCACAGTTAAAAAACTGTTTGTGACCTGCTCTCGATATCTTCCTTTGTATTTACTTCTGAACTAACTTGCTATATGGAGAAATAAGTAGTTTTATCTACAGTTTCATTTCTTCTAGTGGAAATAGCGAGGGGAAGTTTATTCTTTTGAAATTTCCCTGCTCTGAAAAAGCTCAAATTCAGCCAAGTTAATGCAGCAGTAACATTCATGGTTTTTCAGTCTAGTTTTGTAAATAAATGAGATATGTCCTATTATTCTGTTTATTTGTCTCCGTCACCTAGAAACTGTTGAGCCCATCTGCTAATTCAGTCAAATCTGTCAGAGGAGAAATGGTCTCCAGTGTACTGAAGTCTGACCAGTTTCATGAAAGCAGGTTGCTAAGCAGAGAGGTGGGGAGGCCTTACTGATGCCTCAGGTGATGGAAGGGCTACGGTGTGGGCTCAGCTCCTATTAAAACCAGAGAATCCCAGGGAAGGCTGACGCTGCAGGTGCCCTGGTGCTGGAATAGCCATAGGCAGTGTTTTACTCCTTATGAGCCCTGAGGAGATCCAGCCACAGAGCCATACATTGTAGGAGAGCTAGGCTGTATAAGCGCCCCTGCCCTTGCTCTTAGATTTGCTGTTCCTGCCAAGGTGAGGGTTATTTATGCGTGTGTGTTTTTTGTGCTTTCGTTGTAGAAACCCAAGCATCCGACAACAGGTCTAATTGCCATTACGCTAGCGTTTCACATCTGCCATGAAGTTCACCTGGCGGGCTTCAAGTACGACTTCACTGACAGAAATGGTTCTTTGCACTATTATGGCAATGACACAATGTCTCAGATGATGCAGGTAATGTACGTTTGTTTATGTTGAGAAGCATACTTAGGGAAATATAACTGATAGTTATAAGTGGGGAAGGCAATGCAATCAGAAGGAAAAACGTGGACTGAAGGTTAGAAAGGTCTGCAGTCTTCTCCTGGGGTCTGCTGCTCATGGGTTAATATTGCTCGAGTTTCTTCTTCTCTTTATTTGTTTTTGAAAAATGTGGATAGTGATGTTTGTCAGTTATGGAGGGGCTACAGAGTTATTTTTTACATTAAGTGCTACATCATATTCTACAGTATCTGCATTACATTTGTCCATGTATACATTCTATTTTGCTTTACCAACATTGTTTTTAAGCTATGTGGTTCTTGTTCATGTAAGCCTATCTGCTAGCGTTGTCAGAACATGAATAAGCAGTGTTCATATTTGCATTCTCTTTGGCAGCTACTTGCAAAATTTTTCGTGGTTGCCAAGTTTCTTTTAAAAAAAAAAAAAAAAAGGAACAAAGAAGAGTGAAGGGGAAAGGAAGGAGTAGAAGACCCACAAACTTGCAGTTAGGACAAGAGCTGAAGTTCAGAAATGCAAAGGAGAAAAGAAAAGCAGGTCTTTGAGGGTGGCTGTGGTAGAAAGAGAGAAAAAAAGTTGGTTCCAGGAGGAAGAAGCCACAGCTCACCTGGGGAGGGAACAGCAGAAGACTGGCCAGCAGCAGGAACATCTTCTCCCATCCCTGAGGGAAGGGCTCTTGCTTCCCTACAGTTTTTCCCCTGTTTTCTTTTATGTCTCTGCTCTTGTCTTCAGTTTTGTACTCCCAGCATCTCCATCTCGGCCCTTTGCTTCAGTGTGAACATAATTTTCTCTTCCATGTGCCGAGACTTGCAGTGCGGTGTGTTGGTCCTATATGGGACTTTTTTCCTCCCTCCCTTTCCCACAAAGGAGAGGTAGAGGCAATGTCCATAGGAGCCTCTCATGTCTTCCTGATGAATCCTAAATGTCTTCTGCTCTGAGACAGTTTTCCTCTGGCACTAAACAAATATTCCTGTTGAGATTCCTCTCTGCAGGTGCTTTTTTACAGTATATCCAAAGCTTGGTAAGGTTGATCACTGGTTGACTAGACATCTGTTACATCTTCCTAAAAGATATAACATCTTAAAACTTAACCCACCCCCACCCCTCAAAAAGGTAATAAATTCATTAGTGGTATTGAGTTTTAAATATTGTTCAGGGTATGTGTAATCTTTTAGGCAGTATTTGCATTGCGTTCATTTTAATTTGTTGGATTCTGTGTATTAAGATTTTCAGCAAACTTGCTTGAGGCACGACGTTTTACGTGGGTTTTCTTGGCAGGCAGGTTCTTTGAACTCCCTGCAGTCCTCAGTGAGTGTCTTGGAGGACAGCACAGAGAAATCCATTTACCTCAGTGATCTCTTGCATCCAGGATCTTATGTGAGGCAACATGGAAGACGGGTTGGTTTTGACTTACTGTGTAGAAACTGACTGGCAAGGCACATCTGTCTTACAACTGCCTGATGTGTGCTCTTCAGGAACCTGAAGTGAGCTTTGAGGATTAGTCATTATCTGACTCCTGCTGTTGTAAACGTGGTTATGCAGCTGCTTCCTGTCAGCAGAGTTAGGAGCTGGGAGATTTACTGATAAAGGCACTTCTGTGACAGCATGTCTCATCTGTTCCTGCCCCTTAGGGATTGTCTCCTTTATTACAGAGCCTAGTCTAGTTTTGAGCAATAGTGTCACCGTTTTCTTGGAAGACTGTACTGTAGCCCTGCTTAACAAGTCCCTTTCTCAGAGCCTTCCTGCCCTTACATCCTCCAAGTAGCACAGGTAATTGGAAGGAAAGCAATGAAGTGATGCCTCTGGTAATAATTTGAATTTAAATTTTTTTTATTCTCTTGCGTTTCTTCAGAATGAATACCACAACATCAACGCTGAACAGAAATTTTTGAAGAAGCTTATAGACAAGAACTTTGTGGTCAACTTGACATGAAAGTTGAATGGAAGATATGAAGAAGAATCACTACTTTCAAGATTTCAATAAATTTTATTTTTTGTATGATATTTTTATTTTTTAAGTGCAGTGTAACTGTTTACTGTTTAAAAGGAGCACAGAAACCTCAGGAGGAGAGAAGCTCCTTCTAAGGCTGAGGATAATGGGCTGTTGCAAACAGTTACCTGAATTTCTGTGAAACTATTTAATAATGGAAAAAACATGAAACTTTCAGCTAAAAGTATCAGGGATGTATAAAAATGTGATGCGCATCATTTATTTATCAGTAAGAACTTTTTCCACATGATTACTCCTCTGGAATATCTTCCTTTCTGAGGTCGTCCTCCAAAAGAGTTACACTGTCCAAAGACTAAGACCACCGATGTTTAATTAGTAGATGGGTATAAAGTCTTGAATCTCTTTCTGGTAGCATGAAAGTGTCTTTAAAAGCAATGTCTATAAACTGTTATTGTGTGGGGGAGAGTAGGGGGGCATGCAGAGCGTCCGGGTTTCAGTCTGCCCTACCCCTGAGGAGAGGACTGCCATCTTCAGCAAAGAAGCCACAGCCTGAACTGGTCATCCTCTCTGAACTGCTGTCTGCATCAGCCAGAGCTGAAGACCCCGTGGTCTCACGTGTGAAGATGTTGGTGTTGATGATGTTCATGTACCAGCCTATGGACAACCATATTCCCCCTGTTGTGCGTCCAGTAAATTTTACAGCTGGTGGGTTGACTTAGAGAATGAAGACTGAAGATTTATCTTAATACCATCTGTGGATCTGTCACTTCCCTCAAACCGCAACAGGAACGTGAGCTGGAGCTGAGAAGTTTACACTTGAACTTAAATTAAGAGATCGCATTTGTCAGATTCCTAGGTCTCCGTGACAGGATCCACTGTATCTTTCTGCTCTCTCCCCAAGAATCGAGATATATTTTTCCAAACCAGCATAATCTCATTTTTTGGATGCTGTAATGCCTTTCCAGCTTTGAAACGCATCAATATGAGCAATGAACGTTCCCATTTTTTGCAGTAGTGTATGCTAGGGAATGTCAAAGATGTACAACAGCTTGAATTATGGTTTGGCTGCTGTTTACCTCTCCTTTGTATTGACGTTTAGGTTTAAAGGATGTGGCTGAACTAAATCACTTAGCGGAGGGAATTTACTCGGGATTTTAACTGAGATATTTAATGGGACAGTTATGTTTCCTGTATAGATTTGTCTCGGGCAAACTTACTGAATATCTAAGTTTAAATCAGCCTGGGAATGTCCTTGACAGCTATCAAAGATGCAGTGAACAAGTAACATGCTGTTCTAATACTCTCATAAGGTGTATATGTTTGTTTTTTTCTTTTTCCTTTTTTTGGTGGCAGGTTTGTTTGAAGATCTTGTGGTTATTTTGATCAATCATCTAAAGAAAGCACAAAGTTCAAAAAAGTCTTTAAAGTTGGTAGAATAACCTTTGTTGCTTTATTATAAATGATGCAGAGAGCTTTAGTACGCTTAGGAGCAGTGTAAAGAACTTAAAAACATGAATACAAGCCTCTAGCAGGTCAGGAGCACAGTGCTGGGTTTTTGAGAAGCTGACGATTACGAGAGTGCTGAACACAACTCCCCTGCTGCAGCAGTGTAAAGGAATAAGCACTGATGTGACCTCATCTTACATTTCCCTATTTCTGTCTTGCAGAGTGAGACGGGTATTTAGAAACTTCCTGTAGTTCTTTTAATCTCTCTCTTAGTTACTTAGCTCTGCTGTTTGGGAGTTACCTGAGTGCAGTGTGACTTGGAGGGGAGTCACAGCTGAAACAGAGGAGGCTTGCGCGGTCATATAATGTTTTCACCTAATGACTCCTGAACTTTGGCCAGTTTCAAGTGAATTTGACATATTTGAAATTATGCCAGATGTCATAATCGGAGGTAGGGGAGGGGACCCAAACGGGTCCCCAATGTGGGGCTGTGCCACGAGTGCAGCAGTTCTGAGCATCCTGCCAGCTGGACGCATGCCTTGGGCACGACCACGTGTACCTTGGGCACAGCCCCTGACGCTGTCACCACACCGGGGTTGCTTCTCGTTGAGCAGAGGGAAGGCTGTGCAGGAGGTGTTGGGGGGCAGCTGGGGCAGGAGACTACAGCGGTGGAAGTGGAGGAAAGCGGCATTTCTTCACAAGATGGGCAGAAGGGCTCTTGTTCAATTTTTCATGTTTCCTACCCCCGCCCCCTCCCCTCAAAAATACATGTTCTGTGGCTTTGAGGAGGTCTTCCCTTGCAAATTTGAATATAAATAGGTGCGTCTTCACCAGAAAATATACATCACTGTCATGAGCTTTACCAGCGTTTGTTTATGGTGATTACTTCAGTTAATTAAAAAGGTTCCTATGTGATTATACAGGACCAGAACTGCAGTGCTTTAGACTGCTGACGATAGTAATTGTATATGAAAGGAACGCCAAGGTAAGGTTTTTCACAAAGGTCACGGTGCTGGTGGAGCTCTCTTTACACAGAGGTCCCTGGTAGATCTCCCACTGTCCTGAGAGCAGAGCCAGGCTGCATGGAGGACTCTAGCTTCCCCCTAGAAATGCGTGGCCTCTTGCAGAGCCAGGCTTCCCAGTCCTCCCCAGTGCTGCAGAGCTCTCCACTGCCTGCCCCTGCATCAGAGGGTATGGCTGGACCCATGTAACATCACCCAGTAGGTTAATTGGGAGTTTTTTTTTTTTTTTTTCTTGGAGAGCTCTTTAACTTGCCCTGTCCTCACAGTGGCTGGTTCTCGGGATGGTGCTTCCCTTTGTTTCTCAAGTCCATGTCCTTTGCAGAAGGAGATGGGGAGCAAGCTCTTCTCTTGAAGATGTGATTAATTCTTCTGCTTTATTTCCTCTCCAGAGATATTTTTTCCCCGTTAACCTACTGATTCATTCTCCTGTTGTTTTCCTAGGGAAGTTTTCTGCAATTTCATTTGGTTACGTTCTGTTACAGTTAGAACCCTCACCAAGTAATTGAGGAAAAAAGACTTTGACAAACAAGTTGTGCCCCTAAACTCTTCTTACTTATGTTAGCCTCCTTAGTCTTATTTTTACTGCATCAGCTTTTTTTGGTGTGTAAGGGTCGGGTTTTTTTGTTTTGTTTTTTATATTTTTCCCCAATGTATTTAGTATGTTGTCTTCAGGCATTTATCCCTCTTGGCTGCTCCTTTATATTTCTTAATAAACATACCTATTTTTGTTGGAGATATCTATGTATCTTCTCTTCCCACCCGTTCTATTGCCCCTGCAAGAATGCTCAGTCTGCGCGCACTGAGGTCAGTGTCATGTAGTGACTTTTTGAGAAATGTTTAGACAGACCTGTTCACTTGAGACTGAGCCAAGAGTTGGTTATAAACTGAAGGGTAGTGTCTTTTGAACACTGTATGGTTTACAGGCTAGTAGGTTTTTTATTTTTGGTAATAAGCGGTGAGCTAACTGATTTTTTTCCTCTGTAAGATGTTTTGATAGGCTTCTGTATACACCAGTCCTGCTTCATCAGCATCCTCCACTTCATGTGGTCGTTTCTGCTGCTCTGCCCGGAGAAAAGGTATCTTTTTACACCCATTTTGCATAGGGAAAAATAGCTAACTATACATAGTGTGTTTATCAATAATGTCTGCAGTTCATGGTGTCTGTTTTACCTGAGTACACGTTTTTCAAAGTAATTTGCAAAACCAAAGATTTGCCTTGGGACTGTTATTGAAAAAGCAATAAGGCTAACTCCAAATACTCTGGTCTTTTCTGAGAGTTAGTTGCTATTAAAAGACTTTCTGTTTTTCCATTTTCATGGTCCTGAAGGTAAAATCTCTGCACTGAAATTTGCCTTTTAAAAGCTGCTCATTGTTTTGATTATTACAACATCAGTAGTGAAGCTGTCAAATTTTGATTTCCAGGATGCTGTGAACTTTATTTTCTCATCTGGTAACAGCCAAATGTGTTAGGTACCAGGTATCTCCTATGGATCTTTCTGTATCAGCTGTGGAGTCAGATGGACTCACGCCTTCTTCCTCTTTTCCTGTTCTCCAGTGGTCTGCTAAATGTCAAGTCGGTAGCATCTTACAGTCAAAGATGCTCCTGTATTTTATCCACCACTCTCTTCCTCCCAAGACGCAGCACCGTCACGAAGACTCAGCTCTCAGTTACCAAAATAGACTTAACATCAACAGGAAAACGTGTATTGACTAAAAGTGCTGTTGATTCAAGTTTTTAGGGTGTTTCCCTTTTTGTGCTGTCAGGAAAGTATTTTATTTCTCTGCCATAGTAATTAAGGGAAGTACTGAGATATGACTTAAGAAAGAAGGTCACAGGTTATTGCACTAAATGTGAATCTGAGAGTGCCTAAAAGATCTTAGTAAATCACATTTCTAGTGACTCTGTGTTGATGCTAATACAGGCTCACGGCTTCGGTGTTTAATAATCAGTGAGTCGTATCTCTTGTTTGCTACATTGTTTTTCTTTTAAAAATACCCTGAGAGGCAGTATAATTATCTTAACTTTTAAGCAGAATCTGATTTTTAAGAACACATGAGGCTCAACATCTGTTTTCAGTAAAAATAAATACTTCATTATTTTATTTACCATTTGTCTTAAGTTTTATATGCCTTTAAAGTGCCAACTGTATTTTGAAGACATTCTTAAAAGTTGTTTCAAGTGAAACTTTGAATGTTACAGATGGAAAGAGATTATTTTCCTTTGAATAAATTGTCTTAAAGATGTTGCCCTCAGGCTTATTCTTGCAAGGTCAGTTGTGTGTGTGTGTCCAGGCCCGTTATTAGTGCTGTGTGAAGTAAATATACTGTTGTTAGATGTGTTATCAAGTTTCAGAACAAACTTTTGCAGTGGGTAGGGCAAACAGGACTGAAAATCTTGCAGTCCGGATAGGTCACGCTGCACTAGGAGTGGAAACATCACTCCAGGCTGAGGAAAAGCAAAGCTGGGATGTATATTTGTGGGTAAAATCAAGAGCATCCTCTTGATAGTGATGTCTTGACAGTAATGGGCTTTTTAACCTTACCTGTCATACTGGAAACGCTAAAAGACTTTTAAAAGAGGAGATGACGTGTGATGCAAGCCTTCAGATGGGGATCAAGCAGAAGACACTGATTGGGATACTTTGCTGATCTTTTGTTTTCTTTCCCCTTGCCATGTGAAAATGAGATAGAGAGGAGAGAGGAGATGCTTAGCCACTGGCTTCAGAGAGCCTGAGGGTGACTGAAAAAAATTGCCTGCCTCAAGTGGATATTTAATGCATTCATTCTGGGAGTTCAACAGCTTGGAGGAAATGCCTGTCTTTGAGGTGAGATCAGGCAGAGGTGCACTGTGGCTTATAGTCTGCAGGTGAGTAGCAGCCTAGATCAGTGACAGATTGGTTGTCTCTTTCACACCAGCTTCTTGCTTTGGGTGAAAAAACAGAGGAAAAACAGGAAAAGTTGTCTTCAAATCATGGAGAAAGCTGGGAACACAGTGTGCAGCTCCTGGCATGTGCAGCCAGAAGCTGCCTTTGGTCAGTGAGGTGAGTACAAACGCTTCAGGCACCTCCGCAGGCCTCTGACTTCTCAGCTCCCCCCACCCCATCCCATGCTCCTTTTTGAGCCGGCCTGCTCCGTGCTGGTGCGCCAGAAGGGCTGCGTGCCGTGCCGGCACCTGTGGGCTGCCTGCAGGGAGCCCCTTGCTCTGTGCGGTCCCCCAGCTCCCCAGCCGCCACCTGCTGCTAAATGCAGTGCCAGCGCAATATCTTCCTCCCGCAGCATTGGGGTAAGTTTTGCCAGCAGAGTCGGGGGTAATGAGGGTGTCGTAATTTTTTTCTTATCGGTTTGTTTAATGGATTCAAAGGGTCCTTGTGGTCTGATTGTATGAATTCAGTGGGTCGAATGTTCCTTTTAACCGTTCTGTTTAATGAAGAGAGAATTTTTTTTTTTAAAGATATTTAATAAGATATTTTCTTCAAATCAGTACAAAAATTTTAAATACAAAATTATTTGCTTTCGACATATCTCATATATTCTGGAAGCACACTGAAGTCACCAATGTCTGGTAAACTGTCCGTTCCTGCCAACGTTCCATGAAATTTCTGAGATCAAGCACCACATTATATCACTGGAGTCCTTAGTCAATGTTAAGACTGCATTAAACTCTGCATTTAAATAATGGTAATGCCAGTTAAATCCAATTTTAGTTCTGCATGAAAATTCTAGTTCATTTTGAGTCAAAAGTGATAGCGTTAGCTAAGACACTGAAGAAGTGATGAGTATTTAACTTTTTCAACTAACATAACAGTGTGTGATGTGCAGCACTGTACAGGGAAACACAGAAAAGTACACTGTTATTTTTAAATTAATACTTTTGAGGTGAGATTAGCACCATTGATGAACAGAGAGTTCTTGCATAAAAGTAGATTTCCCCACATATAGACAAGTCTGAGGCCTGCGGATTCTCCTAGACAATTGGTAACGTACAAATGCGGATCAGAAATCAGCTTTTTCATGAAATGAAGTTCTCGGATCAATTTGCATGATCAGTGTTGCTGCTAAAGTTATTGGTTGATCTCAAATAGCAAATTAGTTAATTAGCAAACAGCTACTGCCACTTTGCTAGTCACTGAAGAGCAAACTGACTTGATTTTGACTGGGTTGCAGAATACATGTACCCTCTTAAAAGGCAAATAGATGGCAGGTTCTTAGCACAAGTACTGAAGTCCAAGCAAATTTATACCTCTTTGCTATATTGCCATGTGTTGGCCAAAATGTCTTCATCACATGGCATAAAGGGAACATGAAACCCTTAGATGAAAATTTTGTCTCTGAGCTACCTCGCCTACTTCAACTTTGCAAATGCGTATGGAGGCTTTTTGAGTGCTGTTGCACTTGGAGGTGAGTCCAATGTGTGCTGAAGCCAATGGCAGTGGTCTGAGGCCAAGGACTGCTGGAGAAGGCGCTCAGGAAGTAGTTAGGCCATCAATGCTTATTTTCCGTCATACATGTATTGTTTAGGAGAAAAGTGCAGGAATATTTTATATGGGGGGGAAGGGAAATAAAGATCTCCAGCTAAGAGAACCTTTACTTGTCAGGCGGTCCTGCTGTAAAAAAGACAACAAATAAAAAGCCACTCAAATTTTTCCATATAATTTGAGGCTGACTTACTCTATTTTAAGTTATTGTTTTCATCTTATGAGTATGATCAATGCATCAGTCAAATACACAACAGGAGTGAGTGATGTACACTGATTTGAACCTTAGTACTGTATTATTGTGAATGAAATGAAGTAAGCATGGTATCACAGAAATATATAACGTACAGCTAATATGTCCCCATTGGGTACAAAACAACTGTTTATGAACCTGATACACATCTTTAAATATGTTCACCACACCATTTTTTTATAACTAGCTGTGCATAATGTTAAACTTTGTATTTATTCTTTTTGTACAAGATGGTCCGAAATGGTCATTAAATGCATCTTTCATGGTATAAAAGTTTGAAGCAGAGAAGAAAGGTTTTGATACTTTGTTTTTTGGTCTGATTTTTGTTTTACATGGGATACAATAAATATCCAGAAAAAGACGAATGAACGTATTGCCCGGCATACAGTCCTGCTGCCTGTTCGGATGGCATTTGAACGTAAACTTTGTCTCCGGGCATCAGCTGAACAACGGCGCTCCCGGAAGCTTGGTCCAGGAAGCCTTTCTTGTACTCGTCGTAGGTGTACATCAGCGGCTCGTTGTTCTTGAACAAAGCCACCCAGACGCTGGCCCCTTTACAGTGAACGTGGTAGGCGAAGTAGTAAATCCCGGGGATCTCACAGGTGAAGATCCCCGTCTGCGGGTTGTAGTTTTGCCGGCCGTTGTAGAGGAGCTTGTCGAATTTCACGGGCACGCCGACCCGGGGGAAGGGGGTGAGGAGCTCCGCGGTGAAGGCGGGCATCTCGTAGACAACGCCGCCTTTCTTGCCCTTCTTGCCCGCGTAGCCGTAGGGGGGCTTCACACCGTCGACCCCGGGCCCCACCTCAGGCAGATACTGTCCGATGGCCGGTGGTGTGGGTGGGATGACGACGGGGGG